CGGCGACACCCACCCCTCCTGGGGACTTGGAGCGAGGCGGCGCGCGCGCCAGGGGAGGGGGCGACCCCCGGCCTGAGGCTGGGTGGAGAGTGGGAGAAGGAGCTGGGCCTCGGCCCCCGGCTCTCAGAAACGGGGTGCGACCGGCTTCGGGGCGGAGAAAAGGGGTGTCCGCCGTGCCACCTCCAGAACCCGCCGCGGCCCCCACCGCAGAAAAAGCAGAAAGGAGGATTTCGCCAAATGCAAACTACCGGGCCCCAGTCCAGCCCTCTGATTCCGCGGCCTTCTCTGGGACCCAGGAGCCCACTCTTTGAAGAGCTCCTCCAAGGAGGGCTGAGTGGGGTTGGACATCCCGCGGCGCGCGGCTGCGAGAGCCACGACTGCGACCTTTGTGGGTTCGACCTTTGTAAGCTCGAGCCAAGACAATCCGGGGTGGAAATGACCTGGCGAGGGTCTCTTCAGACAAGGAAACTAGCTTTAGATTTATTAACAAATCCTTTAATGCAGAGGAATTAGTGAAGAGAAGAGTCTAAGTGGCTCAGTGACTGTTAAGGTGATGTTTATAATAAGATCAAAAGTTTCACTTACCTGTCTGAGGCATAAAATTCATTCATTGAGAAAACTGGAAGCACTGAGGATTCATTATTTAATAAAGGTGTCAGAATGGGTAAATTAGCTAATTGCAACATTGTTGTGAAGGAATCTAGATGCTATGAGAGCTGTGAAGACAAAATGCCTTCTCTTCCTGGGGAGGTTTGGGAAGGCTTCACTGGGAGGAGGTGACTTGACTTCAGGATACGTATACTTTTCTAAGGTTATCCCTGGAAGATCATAAGAGCGATCCTCAAGCTTTTCGATATCAGAACTTTGTGCTCTTAAAATTGGAGGACCCCAAAGATATTTTGTTTATGTAGGCCATATCTATTTATATCGATATCAGTAGGTATCTACAAAACTGAGAAATGTTTCCAATATTTAGTTCATTTAAAAGTAACAATAGTAAGTCCATTAGATGTTAACATAAATAATATTTTTATGAAAAATAACTTTCCTAAACCAAAAAAAGTGAGAAGAGTAACATTGTTTTACATTTTTGCAAATCCCTTAATATCTGGCTTACTAGAAGATGGCCAGATTCTCATATCTGCTCCTGAATTTTTTATTGTGGTAAGTTATTTTGGTTGAAGTATTGGAAGGAAATCTACCCTCACATAGAGAATATTGGAAAAGGGAAGACCCGAGGGACTCTCTGAAAGGGTCAAAGGATATAGTTTTATATAATGGGCTTCCTAAGGTTTACTGTGCATATGAATCACATTAAAATACAGACTCTGATTCAGTTGAAATACAGATCTTGTTAAAGTATAGATTCTGATTCAGTAGGTCTGGGGTGAGGCCTGAGATTGTGTATTTATCGTCAGCTCCCCGGTGTTGCAGAATGTGCTGGGGGAGATTGTCTTCCTTTTATAATGTAAATAGGGCTTAAAGAAAATAAAGCCTAACCTGTAAGGTTAGTAACAGTTTATTGCCTTAGGGAAAAAAGGATAATTTATTCAGTACAGGTGTCTTGGTCTTTAGAGTAAAAAGTAAACATGCCAACAAACTTCCTGCTAAGTGTTTTGACTTTCTTCTGCATATTCTCTCTTGGCGACCATTGACTGACCTGAGAGTCTTTATTCTTTTGGCATTTCTTTTGCTTTCCATGTGATTTCTTAGTGTATTTTACTTGAAAATATCCCAAAGGTTTTCTTAACATAATATGGGATCTAAAGTTTTAAAATCCAGACTTGAATGTAAATTCCAGCTCTATTATTTATTCATTATGTTGACAAATGATTCAGTGTTTTTACAGTCCCAGTTTCCTTGTGTCAGCATATATTTTTCCTGAAGAAAAATCTCAAGTGTGGAAAATCTATGTGGACAGATAGATGATGCTTTTTAGTTTTATTTCTACTAGCCAGAAATTGGAACCAATCATTTCAATTATAAAGATTAAGCAAATTTTAGTCCATCTGAAGCAACATGGCAATGGTCTTCAAGGCCTCCTGCAATATCCTGGTCCCATGTTATGTCTGATGTAATATACTACTCAATCCACTCCAGCCACATTTGGCCTCCTTGCCCTTTCTGGAACATATCAGACAGCATCCAGACTTACAGCCTTTGCTCTAGTTGTTCTTTTGTCCTAAAATTCTTTTGTTCTAGAAATATGCTTGGCTAACTCTCTCATCTTCAGATCCTTACCTTTCTAATTTAACCTACCCTGACTGCACAATATCATACTGCAACCTTTATCTCTGCCTGGCCCCAGACACAGGCTCCAGATGCCTTCTCTACTTGTCTTTTTCCATAGTAATTATTACCTTCTAACATATAATATAACTTGCTTATTTACTGTGTTTATTGTTTATTATTCAGACTCCCTGTGCTAGAATGTAAGCTCGAGGTTGGTATCTTTGACCTCATCCTTGTCCTTTGTTTGCGTTTGCATAGGAAGTTACTAGAACAGCACCTGGTACAGAACAGACATTCAGTAAGTATTTGTTAACTAAAGAAATAAACCATTAAAAGTAATGAGTTGGATGACAGAGTAATAACTAGAAAATGTTTGTGAATACAAAAGGGAGACCAAGTATAAAAATTGTAGTATTAAATGTTCACAACTAAAGTATATCACTTAAATCTCAGATTGTATTAAATAAAACTCACCTGAAAGTCACATATAAAATTAGAGCAAAGTGACACTAAATGAATATTACGTATATTAGTCAGCTCAGGCTGCCATGAAAAAATACCATAGACTAGATGACTTAAATAGTAGAAATTTAGTTCTCACAGTTATAGAGGCTGGGAAGTCCAAGATCAAGGCACTGACTGATTTCATTTCCTGGTGAGGCCTTTCTTCCTGGCTTGCAGACTGCCCTGCCACCTTCTCAGCATGTCCTCAAACAGCCTTTCCTTGGTGGGTGGAGAGAAAGAATCTCTTCCTCTTCTTGCAAGGCTGCCAGTTCTATCAGATTATGACCCCACTCTTCTGACTTCATTTAACCTTAATCACCTCCTAAAAACCCTATCTCTAAACTCATTCACATTGGGGGTTAGGGATTCAGCATAGGAATTTGGGGGGTGGGGGGAGGAAGGACACAATTTGTAGCAATAAGCCAAGATACATAAATCAAACTAGAGCAAAGTAATCCATTTTTGGGGGGAGAAAAAAAGATTGAAACAACCAAAATCCCCAAAACAAGACTGATCAATAATAGTATTAATCAGATTTACTGGAACCTTTAAAAATGATAATTAGGAAGAATTAGAAATATGTTATAATGTTTAGTTAAAAGCTAAGAAAAAAAACTCTTTAAGTCTACTTATGTGAAATAGGTCTTTTCTGTATGAAGACTGAAAGAAAAAGAAAAGAAAAGAAAAAAAGCAGGGTCCAAATTAAGGAAGAGAGAAACCTACATCAGAATTTAATGCAAAATAGAAAAACATCTTTTGACAATATTTGAATATATGGTAAAAAGTTTTTAGATGTGAGCTTAAAAATATACAGAGCGATGCACAGATTTTCAAAATTCCTTTCAGAGAAAATAATCTGAAGACCATTGAACTAAAAGAACTACAGAGCAGTCTCATTTTAAGCCCTGTGTGTTGGGGCGGGGGGAACAGGGAAGGGGAGAAGAGGGAAGGGTTAGTTCCTGAAGTTCTTGATAATTCCATATGAATCATATGAATCCTTATGTAAACTTTGATATACACACAGATTGGCTCCATAACATGGCAATAACATCAACATAGTTTACCTCTTATATACCTGTCATTTGAAATTATGTGATTCTGGATAAAATACTAATTTTAGAGGGTTTGAATTATCTTAAACATTGTACATGAGATGAAAACTTATCAGTATTATTCTGCTGTACTATTTGAATTTTACATAATTAAATCCATGTATCATGTGACAACACTGTATTTTACTTTAACTCAGATCTGTGGTTAGTTCTAGGACTTGTCTTCTTCATGGATTTGGAGGTAAAGACTGAGTTAAATAATGATAAACTACTTCTTAATCCCAGCTAGGTGAGGAAGATCAAAAGTGGTGATGTTCAAACTTGAACCCAGGTTTGTCATATTTCAAAATCTTTCTACTTGCTTCTAAAGTGTCTCTGGGAAAGAAAGCAAGGTTCCGTATTGTTTAGTGGCATTAATTTGGATATGACTATTCACTTAATTTTCTTAATGCATATTTATTTTTAAGATGTTCTCATTCTGGAGGGGAACAACGTCTAGAAACTCCTTCTGCTAAAAAATTAACAGATATAGGAATTAGAAGAATCTTTTCTTCAGAGCATGACATTTTCCGGGAAAGTGTAAGAAGGTTTTTTCAAGAAGAAGTGATTCCTCATCACTCAGAGTAAGTGGCACATTTGCTTTTCATGTAATGCACACTAGGACTATGACAACGATCATTTCCTTGAATGCTGTGTGATTTTGTACAGAAAAAATAAGTGTTCAGTATTTCATTAACATTTTTACTGATCTTCCCCATAATGTCATAAGATCCTGGGATTCTTACGTTAGTTTAGAAATTTTTAAGTGATTTTTAGAATGTAAAATTCAAAAATAACAAAATTTGAAAATTGCAACTTAATCTAAGAGGAGTATTTCTGAAAACTGTGGTTAAGTGGCGACAAAATACTAGTCAATTTTATCTTTGTATTTTTCTGCTTCATAAATGAATTAAAATATGCAGAAGCTGAAATAGCAAGTATAATGCAAATCTTGATAGGCAATTGGCTACCTCTAAGTATTTTTACTATTGGATATTTCTTGATTAACTTATTAATAATTGATCACTTTATTGATCAAAAAACTGTCATTTCTATTAAAGTAGAATTTTGCTATGTTTACAGAATTCACTAAATGCCAGTATTTTACTACATTTAAAATGGTTTTTAAATATAAATTAAAAACAGCTTACATTAGGTTTTTATTAATACTTTCTCGGTAAGAATAACCCAAATTAGCTAAACTCTGAAGCTGTCACTAGTCTTTGGTCAAAAGCACCTGGCTTCTTAAAGATAAGAGAACATAATATACTTGCTCTAGGAGAATCTTTTGAGTTTATTTTTTCACTGCTTTTAAATTTTGTTCCAGAAAAATAGTTGAGGAGGCCTTGAAGTAAGAATAATCGAAGTTGACATGTTTGGGGTCAATAATAAAAATAGTCCCAAAGCTACTTTAGCTAATAACTACATCAAAGTACACATGGTAATCAATTTTTTTGTTTTAAAATTTCTTGTGTTGTCCATCTTCTTTCAAACAATATCTTCAGATACCTCATATCTTACTACTATATCTACCACTTTAATAAAACAAAACTCAAAATTCTCAGATTCTTTTCTTATCTCCAACTAGATATTAGTGTTCTCATCATGCCATTCTTATTTTTAAAGGCGAAAAGCTGCCCAGTCATACCCAAATATGTAATCTATTCAGAAGTTCATTTGACAGAGCTGTGCTGCAAGGAGCTTCTGCTCTCCTGTTGTTCCTATTTAAACTGTAATGAGGTTGCCTGCTTCTGTCAGTTTTGATATGCTTGTCCCATAAATTGATCACTTTAAGGAAATAGCAAAGAAGAATTGCCTTCACAAGACAGGTGGTGAATATTCCCGTAACTACATGGCACAACTAAGCTTGCACCGTAAGAGCACCAGCTGAGCAAAACTACGTCCATGAGTATCAATAGGTGTAATTTTCAGGTTCAGTATATAGTTGGATGGGGGGAGAAAGTGGCACATATGAAGAAGCAAGGAAGAGAGAAAGAGAGAGGAGAAATGATAAAAAATGCAAATCAAAGGGTATGGCCAGTATCAAAAAGGATCTTAAATTAAGAGTGCATTTCTGCACAAAATCATTCACAGATTCAAAGTTGTGGCCATGTAAATAATATCAAAAAAGCTTCTCTGATTTTAAAACATTTGTTATTCGCAGATGGGAGAAAGCTGGACAAGTGAGTAGGGAAATTTGGGAAAAAGCTGGAAAACAAGGACTGCTTGGTGTCAATGCTGCAGAGCATCATGGTGGTATTGGTGGGGACTTGTACTCGGCGGCTGTTGTTTGGGAGGAGCAGTAAGTACGGGGACATTTGAAGTTGTGTCTTGTTTTGTAAGCACACTGCTCTCCTTTCTGAGATGATAATTAAGAAATGCTTCCAAATCTTGAAAGACTGAAAATTCAGTGTAAAATGTGAAAGATTATTCTGCTCGTGTACTTTTGCACATTGTTGGGATGTGGGAAGATAAGAAAATTCACTTTTAAGTTGTTGAAGTAGGTGCTGTTGAAAATTCAAGAGACAATTTCATTTCTGCTCAACCCCTATGGTTATTTTTTCCCCTTTTAAAATGATATTTGAGGCCAGTAAGATCAGTTGGTTACAGCGTGGTGCTGATAACAGCAAAGTTTAGGGTTCGATCACTGTCACTGGCTAGCCACCAAAAACATTAAAAAATGAAAAGCTATTTGAAAAAGAACAGAAAAGCAGAAAAATATTTCCATCAAATATTCTAAAAGTTTAATATATAAGAACAAAGATTTTAGTTGAAAAATGGGCGAAAGATTTGAAGCAACAATTCATCAAGAAAGAAATGCAAATAGGTTTTTTTTAAATGAAAAAAGTTCATCATTACTACCAATCAAATGCAAATTAAATTGACTTGGAGGTATCATTCTGAGCTCTGCAAAATTAATGAAAATGAAAAATCCTAATACCCAGTGCTGACAAGGTTGCAGTGAAAGTGATATACTTATACACTATTGGTGGCATTATAAATTAGAACAGTAAATGTTCTGAGGACTGAAAGGGCGAATATATGTAAAGAGTGAAATGTTCCTGCTCTTTGACGTAGGGTGCCACTTTGGGGAATTTAACTTGAGGAAATAATTTAATAAGAAAAATAGGAGCTGTTTTCAGAAATCATTGTCATGTTAGATCATAATCCCCCAAATTTTGAAGCATTCTAAATGTCCAGCAGTGGGAGATGAATACATAAATTATGGTACATAAACAATTTGGAATATTGTGCAGCTATTTAAGATTATAATTTTATATCACTTAAAAAGAAAATAGCAAAGTACAAAATTCATACTATGACTGCATCTGTATTAAAATATATCCTTATGGCAAAGGTAATTTGCCTTAATAAAAATAATTGCTGTTAGGGAAATACAATTGTAGGCGATTAATGCTTTAAAATATTTTATCTCCTAATTCATTAAGTGAGTGTTAATCGAGCTCTGTTAGAGCACTGTTATTATGTTAGAATCAGAAATTAAAAGATTAATAAAAACAAAAAGAAAACCCATTCAGGAACATTGTACATTTGTGAGGAAACAGGCTATTCCCACTTAATGTGAAAAGATCTTTAATATTTTGTTAGTCATTTTTTAATTGAAAATCAAAGAAATTAAAAACAGAAGAACAAAATAACTGTTTTGTGCTATAAACTTCCTTTCTTTCTTTATAAGAGCGTATTCAAACTGCACGGGCCCAGGTTTTAGTCTTCATTCAGATATTGTTATGCCTTATATTGCAAACTATGGCTCAGAAGAACAGATTAAGCACTTCATCCCCCAGATGACTGCAGGCAAATGTATTGGTGCCATAGCAATGACAGAGCCTGAGGCCGGAAGGTAAGTCAACTGTTGGCTTTGAATTCTTGAAAGCAGTGCCCAAACAGCAAACATTTTTTCAGTACTTGCTTTACACAAGACTCTGAGCTATCTGCTGATAGGAATACCAAGATGAACACAGCATAATTATTGACCTCAAATAACTTAAAACTCCAGTGGGAAAATAAAGCATTTTTATATACAAATAACAATAAATCAGATTGTAATGTATGCTGTGTTTGAGTTATTAACATAGTGTTATGCAAATAAAGTGGTAGGGTACGAGTTGAGTTTTAGGCATAACAAATTTTAGATGTTGGGTGAGATTCACATGGAAATGTCCAGAAGGCTGTTAAAAATGGGTATTTGGAATTCTCAAGACAGGCTGGGGTGGCAGTAGGTTTTAAAAGTCTTTCATATGTAAGCAAGAGTTGAAGTAATGGGAATGCATAAGATTATGTATTCAGTCATTTGCCAGTTATTTATTAAGTGCCTTCAATGTGCCGGTTATACAGTGGGGAACGAAATGGATGTGGTCTCTGTGCTTATTAAGGAGAATGACAAGAAACAAGTAAATAAATATATTAGTAATTATAAGTTATGATAAGTACTATGAAGGAAAGAGTGCTATGCTGAAGACTAGTGGTATGTGTGTGTTTAATGGGACAGGAAAGACAAATTTAGATATGAATGCTAAGAAAGGCCTATAAAAAGTGGTTGTATTTAAACTGTGGTTGACAAATGAGAAGGAACCATTTATACAAGAATGGGAAGAGGGTTTCCACACAGCAGGACCTGATCCTCAAGGGGAAAAGTGAAAGGGTGAAAAAGAGACCAAGTTTCCAACTAATTGATCACAGCCAGTTACACATTTCTTTGTTCTTTCTCCACTTCCACTGCCTTACTTGATTCGCCTTAGGAAAAAGAAAAAGGGACTAAAGAGGAAACCTTGGGCATCATGTTTCATTGGGAACTGTACAAATAAGATAAAGCAACAGAAACAGAAGGATTGAGAGTTCGAAAGAAATGTAGACAGGAGCTCTGTTGTGAGCATGAAGGGAAGTCAGTTTGAAAGGCAATAGGATTTCAATAAAAAAAACTGTCAAAAAATAAAATAAAATGCAAAGCAAAACAAAACAAAACAGAAACAGAAAGAAAGGCAATATGATAGAAGGGAGGAGTTAGGAGTTAATAATGTCAAAGCCACAAAGATGTTGAGAATTGAGAATAGGTCATGGCAGGCCACTAGTGATCCAGTAGATTGGAGCGGCAGAAATTACTTTGGAAGGGAGTGAGGTGGCAGAGAAATCAAACTATTCTTTTTCAGCACTGGATGGTGAAAGGAAGTGGAGAGAGGGGGAAGTAGTTTGACAGGCTAGCTGGCAAGGGAAATGATTTATGTTAAAAAGAGCAGAGACTTAGGGATCAACAGGAAGCAGAGGAAGAACTTAAAGAAGCAATAACTGAAAATCTAGGACTTGTTTCCGGGGAAGTCAGGCCCTACTCTTTCATGATGATAAATTTTCCTTTTTGACAGGGCTATTTATTTTTAAATTTCTTAATGTTCTGTAGTGTCTCTTAGCAGTATGCTTAAATTGTATTTATCTTTCCCAGATATCTATCCATACTTACAGGACAATACTGATAATTAATTTTGCCAAAGATAATAGGTTTTTGTTCACTTCTGTTGCCTAAAAATATGATGTTAACAAATAGAAATTTAATCTTCTTCCTTTGCTTTTAATTTTGTTCTCTAATATAACTGCCTGACTGCCAATATTCTGATCGAGTCATATTAGCTCTGTGATCACTATATTCCAATTCCAGTCGACTGCATGTTAACTCTCACCTACAAGCAACAGAATAAACAAAGGTTCACTTGATTTTTGTTTAAATTCCAGGCCCTTATCTGTGGGTAGGTATATGTAATTGAGAAGGAAACTGAGAATGTGAATGGAGAAAAAGGCAGATTTTTTGCAAGGTCAATGAGAGTCATGGGAAGATAGTAAATTAGTCAGATATTTAGAGAGATGAGCAAAGGGCCCAGGTGGGTAAGAGAATGCAAGAACAGAGAAAAGCCACCGATGAAGAAGAGTATTAGAGTGTTGAGGAATTATGGTGAGAAATAAGGAAAAACACATGGGAGGAAAAATATAGAGAGGATGGGACATGGTTCATTTTGCCTTCCCTCAGAGATGTGTCAGCCACTGTCTGTATTGTTGCTTTGATTTGGCTTGCACAGAAAAAGGTTGTAATTGCTGGAAAACATCCAAATCTTCACTGGCCCTTTCCCCTTCCATTTACATAGGAGACTTCATTATTTATAATTATGTATATTTGTATGAAACCTTAGCAATTTGTAAAAGCTTTCATGTTGGTTTTCTTATTTGGCTATCATAATAGTTTGTATGAAATATAGAGACATTATGATCTCTATGTAAGGAGGAAGCAGAATATGAGATATGAAAGTATTTTAACCAAGTTCATAAAGTAAATTGATGACTGCATTGAAGCTAGGGTGTTCTAATACCAGCTGTGTGATCTTGTGTAAAATCTTGAGCCTCAGTGTCTGTGTCACTGAAATTGAGGTAAGATACCAAATAGGATTATTGTGAGGGTCTGAATTCTTGGCATTACTAAATGGTATACTCATATTTTTAAACCACTTTTAATATTTTATATTTACCATTCAAAATTTTGAGAAAAATCCACAATTACTTTTATTACCTTTGATATGTTCCTGTATAGAATTGTTTTAATAATTTTTTAATACAAATTTTAGTAACTGATATTTTATTCTTACTTATGATGAAAATTATGATGTTAGAATACAACAGCATTCAGCTTTAAAATGTTCACTATCAGCATTTATTCTTTTGGTGATAATTAGGGTAAAGATTGTTCATATATCTCTGTCATTCAACCTATATTTCAGATATTTGGCTCTAATGTTATACAATCTCCTTCTGAAACTTACCCATGATGTTTGAAGTGATTAGATGTGTAATGGATGAGTTTTGAATTCCTGTTTCTAATGTCTTGGTGTGTTGGTGGTCCTCAAGACCACTCCTAGCTTCAATGATTTTCTAGGAGGACTCACAAGATGCAGCATGAATTGTCCCCATGGTTGTGATTTATTACAGTGAAAGGATACAAAGCAAAATCAGCAGAAGGGAAAGTCTCATTAGGTGAAGTTTATAGAAAACCAAGAGTCCTCTCCCGGTGAAGTCACCCATAACATGTTTAATTCCTTCAGCAACAAGTTGTCACAGCATGTATGAAATGTTGTCTACCAGGGTGTAGCTCATTAGAGACTCAGTGCCCAGGATTTTATTGGCAGCTGATCACACAGGCATCCTTTGCTTGGTATGTTCCACAAGTTGAGATTCCCAGAAGGAAAGCAGGTGTTCAGCATAAGCCATATTGTTTGTATAAACAGTTTAGATACAGTAAGCCACTAATCAGTTCTAAGAATGGTGGGAACCCTCTTGAAATCTAAATTCTAGATACCAGCCAAGGGCAACCTTGTAATCAGGCCTTTCCAAAGATGACAGTCTCAGGCCTGCTATATTGACTCTTTACTGCACACTTGGCATTTTTAATAATGTAATTCAGCAAATATTTTTTGAGTGCCTGTTATGTGCAAAGCAATATGTTAGGCAAGGGGCATATAAACGTGAACTTGATATTCACCGTGTCCCCAGAAAGCTTGAGTCTAAGTGGGATAAGTGTGAACAATAAGGCCTTTTTATTAATGGCTGAAATGTGAGATAAATGCTTTAAGAGAAAATATTAGCTTCTTAAGCCTTCTGTGACAAATTACCACAAACTCAGTGGTTTAAAAGAGCAAAAATTTATTATCTCACAGTTCTGAAGGCCAGAAGTTTGAAATCAGTATCACTGGGCCTAAATCAAGGTATCAGCAAGGCTACTCTACACACCTTTCAGAGGTTACAGGGAAGCATCTGTTCCTCACCTCTTCTATCTCTCAGTGCCAGCTGGTGGTCCTCGGCTGGTTGCCCCATCACTCCCATATTGGTCTCTGTGGTCACATTGCCTTCTCCTCTTCTGTCTGTGGAATCTACCTCTACCTCTTCCTTATAACGACGTTTGTGATTGCATTTAGGGCTCATCCAGATAATCCCCATCTCAAAATCCTTAAGTTCATCACATCTGCAAGACCCTTTTTCCGTATAAGGCAACACTCACGGATTCCAGGGATTAGCACCTGGTATCTCTGGGGATCATTATTTAGCCTAATATAGAGAGTGATAAAGAAAATTGCCATGCTATATAAAATAGAAAGTCCACATACAAGAATAAGAAAATGTTGCAACAATAAGTGATGTGGACTATTTATACATGATGCTATTCATTGTAGGATATTCATAAAAGTTGGAACCTGAGTGTTCAACAATAGGGATTGTTTTAAAAAAAATGATAAGTCCATATGGTGACATTCTATGCAGATAATAAGAATTATCTTATAGAAAAACATTAGATACTGTTAAGAGGTTAAACTCATATGTATCGTTCCAATTTTGTAAAAATACATGTGTGTGTATATATATATATATAGAAAAGTATTGGAGGGATGTATTTAATGAATGTTTATTTCAGGAGGTAAAATTATTTTTTAAATTATTTTTCTCCTTGAGAATACTGTCTTATTTTTCATATTTTAATTAGAAATATTTGTTTTATATTTAGAAAAATAATCATAGAAAAATAATCAGTTCTTTTAAAGCAGGTTTGTTAGAGGAAATGGCATTTGAGACACAGTTTTTTTTAGAACATTTTTATTGAAACATATCGATTGTACATTTTTATGGGGTGCTTTCAATACATGTATATAATGTGTGCTGATCTATTCAGGGTAATTACCTTATTCCTCATTGAAAAATTTAATCATTTCTTTGTACTGTGCACATTTGATCCCTCTTCTAGTCATTTGGTTATATGTAGTAAATTATTATTGATTACAGATTTCTGGGTTGACTGTGTACCTATAGGGCTTATTTTTCCTATCATGCAGTACTTTTATATCCATTAATCAGCCTCACACTATCCTCTCCTTTCCTCTCCCCTTTCCAGCCTTTAATAACCATAGTTCTTTCCTCTCCTTTTAACAGTTTAACTTATTATTATTTGTTTTGTTCTCTTTTTTAGTTCTCACATATGAGTGAGAATATGCAGTATTTCTCTTTCTGTGCTTGGCTTATTTCACTTACCATAATTTTCCCCAAGCTCATCCATGTTGCTGTGAATGGCAGAATTTCCTTCTTTTTTATGGCAGAGTAGTATTCCATTGTGTATATATACCACATTTTTTTTATCCAGTCATCTGGTGATGGACATTTAGGTTGCTTTTGTATCTAGTCCTTCTTAGGAGCACGAGATATGTACATATCAAGGAATTATAAGCTGTATCTGGTTAGTAAAGTTGCAGGATGTAAAGTCAATATACAAAAGTCAATAACATTTCTTTATACCAACAATGAACTAGCAGAAAAAGAAATCAAGAAAGCAATCCCATTTATAATAGCTATCAAAAAAATTAAATAATAATGTTTCTGTTGAGAAGTCTGCTGTTAGTCTGATGGGATTTCCCTTATATGTGACTTGATGCTTTTCTTTTGCTATTTTTAGAATTCTTTCTTTGGCTTTGACTCTTAACAGTTTGACTATGTGTCTTGAGAAAGACCTTTTTGGGCCAAATCTGTTTGGAAATCTCTGAGCTTCTTGAATCTGGGAGATCATATCTCTACCAATACTTGGGAAGTTTTCAGCTATTACTTCATTAAATTGGCTTTCCTTTTCTCTTCCCCTTCTGCTGTACCCATAATATGGATTTTTGTATGCTTAAGATTGTCTGATTGATCTCATGGGCTTTCTTCATTATTTTAAATTCTTTTTTCTTTTCTTTTTTTTTTTTGATCTAAGTAGGTTAATTCAAAAAGCCTGTCTTTGGGTTCAGAAATTCTTCTACTTCTTCTAGCCTGTTGCTTAAGCTCTCAGTTGTATTTTTTACTTCATTGAATGAAATCTTCAGTTGCAGGATTTCTGCTTGTTTCTTTTTCATGGTTTCTGTCTCTTTGTTAAATTTCTGATACTTGTACTGGATTGTTCTTTGTTTTTATTTTTTACTTCATTGTGATTTCTTTTTTTTTTTTAACACTACTTTTTATTTTATTTTATATATTTTTAAGTTTATTTATTAATTTTTTTTACATTCTAAGATGTTGTTGCAGAGAAGTTGGGAAGGAGGGAGACAGGGAAAAGAAATAGGGTGGGAGAAGGAGGAAGGAGAAAGGGCATGGTTGAGGCCTGTGACAACCCCCTCATTCCTGCAGGGGAGCCTAGGGGGCTTCCAGTAGGGGCTTGGTCATCCTAGGCTGGGTGCAGATGTCAGGGGTGTGTGGCTAAAGCCCTCGGCACCTGACTTCCCCAGCTCAGAAGACCAGGGGGCTTCCAGCAGTGGTTTGGTGGTCATTACTGGGCTGGTTGCAGATGTTGGAGGGTGTGTGGCCAAAGCCCTCAGCCCCCCACCATCTCGGCTGGGGAGCCCAGGATACTTCCTGTGGTGGCTCAGTGGTCATGGCTGGGCTGATTGTGGGTTGTGGGGGGGCATGGCTGAGGCCCTCAGCCCTCTGCCCTCCCTGGCATGGGAGCCTAGGGGGCTTCCAGTCCTTCTAGATTTTATAGTGTTCTTTGGTGATATGAGACCTTTACTAGTTAATATCAAACTTTGTCTGTGGTCTGTGGTTATTTTGTTCTTTCCTTCAGTTCTGTGTTGGATTATTTGCTTTTTCCACCACTTAAACAGCACTAGAACTAATTTGTTGTCCTTTGCTTACTTCTAAAATGGGAGAACTTCCTGTGGGGACCAGTACTTGAGCTCTGTGGTTGAGCTAAATTGCTGTTTTGCTGCTGATTCCCTGGGGAAGGCTTTTTGTGCAGCTCAGGTTTTAATGTTGACTTCACAGGTGCTTCCAGGTCTAGTAAAATCTGGTGTACCTGGGTTGTGTAGAAGCTCTGGTCTGGACCTGAGTCTTCAGCAAACTGTACCCCATGCAATTCTATATTCCTGACCACTCTCCTCTGAGTGGTCCTGTGCTGATTGGGGTGCAGATCAGCTGTCCTTGCTGTGTCCCAGTGTTCCCCCAGTGGGCTCGTCTTCCCCACCACCTGTGCTCCAAACACTTCCCATGGGACGGGCCATTGAGATGACTCATTGGCCTCTGAGTGGCTCCTTTTTTTCAGTTGTCGTGGCTCCTCACTCCTATGTGGGTCCATGGGACCTGGGGGCCACCAAGGCCCTCTTCTCCCCTGCAGCCTCCAAGCACCTTCATCCAAAGGGCACACAGTGGCTTTTTTCAGCTCTTGCTCCGTGTGCTCATCAGCTCCAGCCTTGAAGTGGCCGGGGCTCAAAATGGTCAGAATGGTCCTTTCTTTCTCTCGTCATGGCTTCTCCTGCCTTCATGAACTCCACAGGTCTCTCCTCCTCTTCCCCTGAGCTCTAACGGCCCCAGCTTGGCTGTCACTGCTTTTTAATAGTTGTAAATTCATTGATTTGTGGGAAAGAGTGACTCTGGGGATCATCTATTCTGCCATCTTGACTGGAAGCCTATTGTGATTTCTATCTGTTTTTTCTTACATCATGTTGAGTTTGATTAAGACTGCCATTTGGAATTCCTCCTCAAGCATTTCACTGGTTTCCTGTTGTCTGGGGTCTGGTATTGGAGAATTATTGTTTTCTAGCATTTCACTGGTTTCCTGTTGTCTGGGGTCTGGTATTGGAGAATTATTGTTTTCTTTTGGAGGTTTCCCTGTTTTTTCATGCTTCTTGTATCTCTGCATTGATGTCTAGGCATCTGGTGGTGTAGTCACTTCTTTTAACTTTTGGAGTAGCTTTTGAAGGAAGAGATGCTTAACCTGTTGAAGTGTTCTATATTGATAGTCAGGATGTGTGTTACAGTTTTGCTTCTGGGTGAGTGCAGTCATAGGTACTGGCTCACTCCTCGCACCCTCTCTGCTGGGGTGTGCAGGGCCCCTGGGTCAGGTGGGACTCTGAGTTCCCAGGGAAGATGGGCATGGATCCAGGCAGCCAGCACATTCCTCTGTGCTCTTCACAGGGGTGGGCACATCTGCTGGATTGGGCAGGACTCTGAACTCCCCTGGCTCCTATCTCAAAATGGCAATGTCCAGCAGCAGCCCAGGACTAGAGGAGTTGGGGAGACTCAGTATGTACTTCCCTCTGGAAAAATGCAGTCTTGTGAGCTCCTAGCAGCTTCCCACACTGGGCTCACTTTTCATAAAGGCCACATGGTTACTTTGCAGCCTGATTTGCAGGCGTCTTTGGTGGGAGCACCAGCTGTAGACCCACCCTCCACCTACCTTGTCCCAGCAGCGCAGGGTCTCTCCAGTCTCCACACTCGTCTTGATCAGGTGCTTTCCCTGTTTTTCTATGTTGTTGTCTCAAGTTTCCAGATCTTGGGGGATTTTCCTTACTGTTTTGCTGGATTCTGTCATTTTCTCCTAGACACTCTATAGGTAACTATCTACTTATTGCTTTGGACTTTTTTTGCATTAGTGGTGAGGGCTGGCTGCCTCTAGACAGCCATCTTGCTGGAAAAAAAAGAAAAAAGAGAGAGAGAGACATAGTCTTTTATATAGCTAAACTTTTAATGATAGGGGAAGGCACCACAGTATATAAGGGCAGGAAAGTACATGGTGACACATAACCCCAGGGATAAAATGAACCTTGAAATATCATCTGAATCCAGTTTGGGGGTCTTACATATTAGTTGGGTTTTACTATACTTTATAAAATCCGGCTAGCTTGTAATCTTAATCATGTATTCATTTGTATAAGTGCTTGAGAATATAACACATTGGACCTGATTTTTCATTACAGTTATGTGAACATTCCTATGTCTAGTTAAGCAAGTTTTATAATGCTGTAACTAGTTTGAATTATCACATTATATACATACTTACGTGTAACAGCATTTGGATAATTTAATTTTTATCACTTTATGAATTTTCCATCTTTTTTTTGAATTACAGTGACTTGCAAGGAGTAAGAACAAATGCCAAAAGGGTTGGAAGTGACTGGATTCTCAATGGAAGCAAGGTGTGTAAAGAAGGGCTTCTAGAGCTCTTCTCTCCAGAGTCATTTCATGGGTAACAGTGTCTCAGATACCATTTATCATTGATTCTGTTAGATCTAGAAACTAACACAAAAATTGAGTTTACTAAAGATTTTTTGGAGACAGTGAGAAATTTACAACATTTATATTATATAAGATCTGTGATAGCCTCTTCTATGTTCCATTCTGCATGCCCCTTCCCGAGTATGGTAAATGTTGTTTTAGCTTCCAAACAACCCTTATCAAACCAGAAAAGGGGAAGGTAAAACTCATATTGCCTACATAAGGGACAAAAAATAATTAAACTTTATGTTGATGGAATATCATTGAAAAAACTCTCTCATAAATATCAAGCAGAGTTTCAAAAGATCTTAGGAAAGAAAGATATCGCTGATAGAATTTGAGAGCCCTTCAGTCCTTCTGAGAATTAATCAACGCATTGATAGAATTATCCAGTTCAATCCAGTGAACCTTCAGTTAAGGTTACAAAGTTACTGACAGACTCAAGAATAAATGTGAGTATATCCCTTAGAATCTAATATGACTAAGGGCAGACAATATTGTCTACCTAAAATTGTGTCTGGTATACACTCAGTAAATATTCGTTGTTGACTGAGTATTAAGTGAAGGAAATGTGTTCACTTTCTACATAGTTCTAAAGAAGTTTTTCTGAAAATTTGTTCCAAGGTCTATTGAAGGACTAGTTTGTGATTGTTTACTTTAAAAGAAATTTTTATTTCCAATTATTTTTAGGCTAACATCTTTGTATTTACAAAATCACAAGCTTGAATGTTGTGGCACTATCAGATTCCTAAAAAAGTTTGTAAACACTCTCCATTTTTGTACTTATGTTGTCAGAGGCTGGTAATAGTTTATAGATTGACATCCATCTGCAGACCACCTTTAGAGCAGCCAAGTTCTTTTTTTTTTTTTTTTTTTTTTCCTTTTTTTGTCTTTTTTCGTGTCTGGCAACGGACCGCAACCCTCAGTGTCGTGCCCTTACCGGACCAGGACCGGCAACGGGATCGCAATCCTCGGTGCTGCGCCCACCCCTCGCTCAGCCAGTGAGTGGGAACCAGTCTGTATGTGGGATCCGAACCCTCGGCGGGAGCGCCGCCACACTCCCAAGCGGCGCACTGTAGCAGTGCGCCACCGGGCCGGCCCCAAGGAGCAGCCAAGTTCTAAAGAATGTACCATAATCTAGTTTTGTAATTATTATATAGAAAAATATCTGTGGCGTCAAATAAATTTGGAAAATGTGCACAACTTCTCACTCTGATATGCTGATGTGCATTGTGAATCTCTAAAAGTTGGATACAGTATGTCATGTGCCCTAAGAAATTTTCTTTTCATAGATTATCTTGAGTTCCTGGTGTTCTTCAAATATACTTTAAGAAATATTAGTCTAAACTATTTATCCTAAGGATTGTAACAAACAGGTGCTAATTTCAACATATGATGAATTAACTGCCTGCATATAGAGGGCTTGTTTTGAAAGAAGAGTATAATATTTGGTCAAAAGATAAATGGGAACCTCATTCTCTTATGACTCTGGCTTTCTGAGCGGCCCAGTCTGCCTATTTGTGGTCTTTGGTGAGAACCACTCAGCAAAGGCACCCAGACTGTGTAACCAAACAGGGCCTGTTGCCTGATGCACAACAAGACAATACTGATACTCATCTTTGTAGCAGAGAAGAAAGGTTTATTTGTAAGGCAGCCAAGGAAGAAGACAAGAGAAATAAATCTCAAATCTGCCTTCCTGATAGCAGGAAAGAAGGGTTTATGGGGAAGTAGTTGGGGTGGTGCAAGGTGTGGAGGATCATGATTGGTTAAAAGGTTTAAAGAAGGTCTTCAGTGATCTGCACAGGTGCAGGCCATCTGCATGCCTGTTCTTGAGTCGTATGTTCAAAAACTGGCAGCATTAGCATGATCTGGAGTTGGAGTTTTTGGCCTTCTGGCATTGTAAGTTCACCCATAGGACTGCAGGCTCAATCAGGTTATCTTAAAAGGCAGATAGGAAGAAACAGAGAAGTTAATTATGGATATTTACTGAAAGAACAAGCAATTTAAGTAGGGAATAAATTTTAACTGAAAAGTCACTGGTTACAACTGTTTCAAAAAAAAAGACACTATAAAGAATAGCAAAAAAAATGAAAAAAAGTAAAGTAATTGGTAAGTAAATATAGTGTATCTGAACCATTAAAATATCAACACAACATTTATAACAGTATAGGAAAATAATTATGTTAACAAAAGTGAGAGAAAAAGGATATAAAATGCAAATATAGAATAATTTCAACTATATTAAAATATGAGAAAGAAAATTCATAGTGATATTTATATTATGGACTCAGAGAAGATTACTTTTTCCTTTTTCTTTATAACTTAACATAATGTCTATATAAGATCCATGATGAGTTTATGTTATTTTATAAGCATTCGATATCCAAAAAAATGATGGCCCTCATTAGGGATAATCCCAGCCCTATTCAAATTTTTAACTGTCATAATTAGGAAAGAAACTGAGCAAGTCATCTTACAAAGAGAATTCTCCTATAACTCTATTAGAAAGGAGGATCAATCATGGTAGAAACACTCAGGTTAGGTCAAGCTGTTGTAGAAATGGTTCAGAATCTCCTAATCCTCTTCTGTAATTAGTTCCAGGAAGAACTTTTGGAGAACTCCCCTTGATATTACCACATTGGGATTTGAATGTTTGAGTGAATAATTTTTGCCCCATGGACTGTTCTTCCCTGCTTTTCAATTTCATTGTTTGTCTATTGTGTATAGTTAATACATGTCTGAAACCATGGATTTTAGAACACACAGGTACTAATTACCTTGTGCTGTGTGGTTCAAAACAAATAAACAAAAAAAGCACTCTTTCAGCAACTGTGGCAGCTACACAAAGGTCACTGTTATCTGAAAGAAGTAGATCATCAATTAAAAAAATCAAAACTAGGCCTTTTCAAAAAATGATAAATCTGGGACTATAAATACTTTAATAGCATGGTGCCATTTAGAGCAAATTCCCTTTTCTAATCTGGAGCTTCTAAAAAATAATTTGTCATTTTAATAGACAATTTTTTTTAATGCATTATAAATTTTTATTTATTGATTTATTTATTTTTCTTATTGAATCATAATTCATTATACATAATTGGGGGTTCAACATTGACTATTTTGGTTTTATTTCAAAAACAACATAATCTCTGTTAATTATCATTATTATTTGCAATCTTTCTCCTCTAGTGAGGAGAAAATGTATAGATTTTGTTCTCTGAAGCATTGGGTAATATTTTCCCTGGTTGTTACTAACCTCATGTATGAATAATAAACCCTGCAGATACTGTACTTGAATAGGTTATACAGAGGTGTATAAACCGTGAATTATCTGTTTTATTCCTCTTGAATATGTTTTCCCCAGTCATAACTTGCACATGGACCTGAATTATTGTGGTGGATTTTCGTGTACTTGTGGTTTTGCAGGTGTTCATCACTAATGGGCAGTTATGTGATGTTGTGATTGTAATCGCAGTCACAAATCGTGAAGTTCACTCCCCTGCCCATGGCATTAGCCTTTTTCTGGTGGAAAATGGAATGAAAGGCTTTATCAAGGGACGAAAGCTACAAAAAATGGGATTAAAAGCCCAGGTAAGTCACAATATAAATCATGTTTAGGTAATAATTGAGTTTACTATCAACCAGATAGAAGACATATAGAGAATTACATGTGGTACAACCATACCTTCCTATGCTAAATTCCTAAAATATGCTTTACAGAAATGAGATAATGGAGATTTATTTCCCTTTATGCCACTGTATCTCTTTCTGGTGGTCAGCAATGGAAGTGAATCAGGGTATTATGAATATCTGCTTTAGAAATGGCAAAATTAACTGCATTGTAATAAGCTATCTACTTATGAAATTTATTGAAGAAAATTATGAAGTAAGAATAGAAAATATGTTTTTCTATACATGACCAACCCCCACCTCTCCCCATGTTTTGCTTAATATGTATCAGAAATCCTTAGTTCCCAGTACTTAGAGAACTGGACAATATCAGAGCTAGAATGGCAGTGTGTTGCTGTGGGAAAGCCACAAGTTTTGGAATCAGATGGACCTGGACTGTAATCCGATTTACCACTTAGTAGTTGTGTTCATTAACCACTCCAACTTGGCTTCCAATTTGTTTGTTTTTTTCCCTTTTTTTTCTTTGTTTGTTTGACAGCTGGCCGGTCCAGGGATTAAACCCATAACCTTGGTGTTGTAACACTACACTCTTACCAACTGAGCTAGTGGCCAGCCTTAAATTTTGTCTTTTTTTTTTTTCTTAAATGGAAATAATAATGGTCACCTCATTGGATTATTGGGTGATTTAAATAATGTCATTCTGTATTTAATTGTATGATCTCTTAGGACACTGCAGAACTGTTCTTTGAAGATTTACGGTTGCCAGCTAGTGCCTTACTTGGAGAAGAAAATAAGGGCTTCTATTACCTCATGCAAGAGCTTCCACAGGTTAGAAGTGTTTAAAGATTCCATCTTTTGATTAGATAATGGACTGGAATAGAATAATATAGAACTATATTAATCCCTGTATGCAAAACTTGTGATATAGCTGGTCATTTAAGTATAACTTTAAAGTTGCCAAAAAAAAAAAATGAGTTTTATAAGGTACATAAGTAACTGAACTCAAGGATATTCAATGAAAGCTTATAAAGTAGGGAAAGTAGGTATATGTGTTTTGTGATTTCTTGGAATGATTTTATATTCTTAACTATGAATCAAGAACTTTTAGCTCTTTGTAAAGAAATGTCACCCAAAACATTTGGCAGTTTTTAAATAATAATTGTGAGCCAAAGGGAAAAAGGTGTTAATTTCAGCCTGAAAAGTTTTATCCACATAGGGTCAGTCCTCATAGCTGTGTTTTTTGAGTGTGGTTGCCAAGCCATCACTGACCTCACATGCCAGTGTAAGGGGGTACACCTGCCTGGTGCCTGCCATGGCAAGGGCTAAACATGAAATTGAGGACAAGGGCTAGGAACATAAGCACTTAAACAGAATATGAATAACACCAGCACGATGGAATTAATGTAAGGCTTCTTTTGCACTGGTAGGTAAAATTTAACCTATGCACTTTAAGATGTGGATTTCCACAGATATATTAAGTTACATGGTGTGCAGACATCAATAAATAAAAATCAACAATTACGGAATCTCTTTACTCATTTATGAGTAAAGAGAAAAGTAAATTAAATAAATTACATATATATAATTAATATAGTCATTCATCAAAATAAAGGATTTGCTTTAGAGAGTTATATTTGACAGATATGTAAAAATAAGCTCATAAATCCTTATGGGAGCCTTTTCTCATAAAAAGTTAAGAAATAAATTAATCTTTAAGAGTCCACTATAAAGATTATTTATAGGATTTACTATAGTTGACATTGTGTGAAAATCACTTGTGTGATTAAAGTAATGTTGAGACCTAATTTTGGGGTTATAGGAAAGGCTGATAATTGCTGACTTAGCAGTTTCAGCCAGTGAATTCATGTTTGAAGAAACCAGGAACTATGTTAAACAAAGAAAAGCTTTTGGGAAGACAGTTGCACAAATACAGGTAAGCTTGTTGTTATGGTTTAGTAATAGACGGTATCAATTTACTCATTTGAAGTAGATTTAAGGTAAACATAAATTTAGGGTAATTTTCAAATAGGTGGTATTAGAAACTGTGGAAATGAATGAGATCACTCAGGGAAGGAGAGTAGAGAGAAAAAGGAGAAGAGGTCTACATTAGTCCGTTTTCTGTTGCTTATAACAGGATACCTGAAAATGGGTAATTTATAAGAAAATGAAATTTATTTCTTATGGTTTTGGAGGCTGGGAAGCCCACAGCCTGGGGGCATCTCTGGTGAGGATTTCAAATTAGGAGAGAGTGGGACCAAGTGCTGCTTAGAGGAAAACCAAGATGAAAGTCAAAAAGTGCTTATTGGATCTAGTGATGTGGAGGTTATTTAGGAGGAGCCGTTAATGTTGGTAGAGGGCGGCAGACCGGCGTGAGTAGAGAAGTAAATGCAAAAGAGAAAATAAAGGTCCTGACGGCGGGTAGCTCTCTCCTGAGTTGGGCTGTGAAAGGCAGTTGAGAGAAAGGACGGTAATGTAATGATGCAGGGGAGGGGAGGTGGGGGAGGAAGTGGGCGTCAAGGGAGATATTTGGGGGTTTTTAATTTTTTTTTATTATTGTTAGGATGGGAATACCAGAGCATATTTTACTATCTAGGGAAAGGCTTTAGTAAAGAGGGCAAGGTTGGAGACATGGAGGGACAATCAATGCACAGGGTCTTTGAGAAGGTGTGAGGGCACGGGTGCTGATGGCCTCCCCTTGCACAGGAGAGGTGCTTCTTCCACCCCAACAGGGAGGAGAGAGGCGAGGATGGGTGGGGGTCAGTCGGATATGTGCCTTCGTTGGTGGAAAACTGCAAAAGTCCTTTTCAGAAGTCTTCTATTTCCTTAAGTAATGAAAGGGAAAGGCAGTTCTTGAAAGAGGTAAATGAAGGTGGCATGGAGCTGTCCAAGGGAGGGAGGAATGTTTGAAATACCCTCCTCAGGGTGAGGGACTGAACTAACCAGAGAAACGCAGTCAGCCTGCTGGCAGGCGAGAGGACCCCCCTGACGTCAGTGATCATGAGTTTATAGTTGTGCCCTATGCATTTCATACATCAGCTTTACTAGAAGGGTTTAGCTGCAGGTACAGACACAGGGAAGGCAGATAAATGTGTTTGTTTCAGGTTGGGTTTTGCCAGGAAGTTTAAGGTATTTGCAGAAGAATTCAGTATATGGTGGCCACAGTTACCTAATATGCAAATCAAATTTTAGACCCTCTAGTTTCTTCTTAAATGAAGGGATAGATTATAAGCAATGCAGTCATCAAATTGGTGAAATATCTCACCAGTGAAGAAAACCCCAAAAAACAAAACCTGGAGTTGGAATTCTACTTTAAAAAATTTAAGTAGAATGACTTTGGCTAAAAGGCTTTGTGAAGGGAAAGGTAGAGATGAAACACTTTGGTAGCTTTTCAGGACCAGCATTATAGAAATTATGTTCAAGTGTGGTTTAAGTCCTAGCACAGCTACTTGAATCTCTGCAGTCTAGGTAAGTTGTGTTCTCTCTCTAAGATATATTTTTTCCTGTTTGTAAGAATTGTAAAATTTATTTGATTTGTAAAATTATAAGATCTTACAATTGCAAAATCTTATAATTTGTAAAATTTATTCACAAATAGAAATATTTTTCTGTTTTTGAACAGTATCAGTAGCTATGTCATAGGGTTGCTTTGAGGATTAGGTGGGATAATACACATAAAGTACTTGGAATATTAACCAGGCAGTTAGTCCTCATGAAAGTTAGCTGTTACTACGATTTTTGCCTTACATACGGCTTTGCTCCATTTTGTTCCAGTATAAGGGGACTTGTTATCAACTTGTTCCTTTTGCTCCTGATGTAGATCGTCTCAGTGTCATTTGGGGAACTATTTGCTACTTACATAGTCATCGAGTTAACTTTTTTTCATTCTGAATAAACGTCTCTATATCCTAACTTTCTTACTGATGTTACAGACCTGCAACAGTTGTTCTGAATCTATAAAAATGAGGCACACACTCAATCAGGAAAACATTATTAGAAACAGTGTGACCTGACTTGCTTTTGTGATTTTCTTAAGAGCAAGGAGGTTATACTTCATATTCCCTTTCATTTGTGGATCACTGATTTATACATATCAGTGGTTCTGCACAACTGCCCTCTCCCCTCAGGCATTTAGAAATATCAGAAATGAGATGGGAGTGGGGAATTGCACAGGGACTGGAGGTATAACTTGTGTTTAGTGCCCTGGAAGACAGTGTTGTTAAATATCCTATCATTCAGAGGTAGCATTGTATTACAGCTAATTGTCTTCCTCAAAATACCAGTAATCTCCCATAATAAATACTGACGTACATGATTTATTTTTCATTTCACTGAACAAATATGTATTGATTGCCTTTTAAGGGTTGTGTGCTCAAATGTAGTTGGATAGGTATAACTCTGAAAATAAACTCTAAAGGCTCCTACCAATGTGAAGGAAGCAATACTAACTTGGTATCACTCTGTGACTTTCTTAACTTTACCCAAAGTGAATTAGTATCATTTGCTTCCAAAATCCATTTGCCACCACCTTCACATCAAAAAGTGTTTATTAAAGTACTCATGCCTTTAGCTTTATTTGGATGCTATAACAACTGAGCCGAATTGACATTATTCATTCCTTTGGAAATCCATATTTCCCATATATGTACTTCATATTAGATAACAGCAATGATGACTGTAATACAAGGGGTCTTCAAAAAGTTTATGGAAAGATATATATTATCTTTTTTTTTTTTTTTCAAAAGATGACCAGTAAGGGGATCTTAACCCTTGACTTGGTGTTGTCAGCACCATGCTCACCCAGTGAGCTAACCGGCCATCCCTATATGGAATCCGAACCCATGGCCTTGGTGTTGTCAGCACCGCACTCTACCAAGTGAGCCACAGGCCGGCCTGAAAGATATATATTATCTTTTAATTCATTTTTTCCACTAACTTTTTGAAGTACCCTCGTATTACCCAGATTTCCTGAATGACTCAGAAAGCATGTGATTTGACATGTAACCATGAAGGAAATAGAAAATCGGCCTATACTGCTTTCTCCGTAGGGGAAAAAAGTTCTTTTAAAATACTTATGGGCTGGCCCGGTGGTGCACTGGATAGTGCGCCGCTTGGGAAGTGCGGCGGCGCTCCCGCCCGAGGGTTCGGATCCCACATACGGACCGGTTCCCACTCACTGGCTGAGCGAGGCACGGGAGCAACGCCGAGGTTTGCAATCCCGTTGCCGGTCCCCGGTCCGGTACGGGGGCAACACTGAGAGTTGCGATCCGTTGCCGGACACGGAAAAAGACAAAAGACAAAAAAATAAAATAAAATAAAATAAAATACTTACTTATTGTATTTTGATAGCAAAAAGACAGGAAATAGTTTTAATCTTTCCTTTTCAAAGCAAGTACCATTTTATTCTTTCTTTCAATGTAATTCACTAAAATTTCAATAGGTGGCAGTAGCATTCCACTTCCACAGGTACATGATGGCTATGAGTAGTAGTGTTTTTTGTGTATATGCTCTGAGATTTCTGAGATTATTTCTTCTGATCTTCCCGGTTTATTATTATTATTTTTTAATCTCCCTGTTATATCTAAATAAGTATCTTTGAATAGTAATTTCATATTTCAGGATAGGAATATATTCAGAGAAGATGAATGACTAGTGTGTGCCTACACCTCCTATTGCAGAACTGGGCACACTACTGTTAGTTATTCAATTGAAATGGCAGTCCTTTAAATGTCACATTCTACTTGGCCAAATGTCATTTGATGACTATATAACCATTCAGTTTCCTTTCTCTTTGTTATCCTTGAAGGTTGAACATTTTGTGTCTTTCTGACTATTTGGATGCATGTCACAAAATTTATTTTCTTTTTAGACTAGAGACCTACCACACCAAAGTAGCAGTAGTTATAGGATTCTCATTTTTTAAAATCTAGACTCTCCATAGTTGAAATCAATTCTCATGATTCTCATGGAATAGACAATAAAACAGTAAAATCCAGATGTTAAATAATAATAACAGTTATCGTTTATTGACTGCTCTCTATGTGCCAGACACTGTGCTAAATGAATTTGTATCATTTTTTTCCTTCAAAACTATATAATAAGTATTACAATTATTTTCATTTTACAGATAAGGAAGTTGAGGCAGGGAGAGGTTAAGTAACTTGCCCCAAATTATACTGATATTCTAACTATAGAAACTACACTCTTAATCATATACTCTTTTTACTGCCCAGAAGTTTAAAGTAGATGGATCTTCCTTCTTTCCCTATTTCCTTCACCTTGTGGGCACTGACGTGAAGATGGAATGTTCTTTTCTGAGAGCTCTTAATCATTTCCTGTGTGGTATGTACTCTTGATTCGAAGGGCACAAAGTATAGGGAAAGAAATTGGAGAGGGAAAAAAATAAAACTTCATCCTTCCATGTCTCCAAAATGGAAATGTCCAGTTCTTAAGACCTTGAGCATAGGGTTAATTAACTCTTAAATTAGGCAGTAAATCTAACTTGTTTTATTTTACATTTAAGTCTTAATATATCAGAACACAACTAATGGTGTTATTTAAACACTGGGCTAGATAAACTCTCCAAGGTGTCTTCCAATTCCATAATTCTATGATTCTAAGAATTTTGTCATTCAGAACTCTAAAAGAGACTCTATTCATTTTCCACTTATCTTCAGAAGAATTTTTTTTAAAAAATGCTAGTTGCTCTATATCTATTAGCGAATACTAATGACTTAAAAATGCTGCTATGAGCATGTTGATCATTCACAAAAAGCACCTTGCTAGTAACGTATGGTACAATTATTAGCTGCCATTCATTAGAGAATAATTTCAGACAGCATGATGCAGTGTCTGCAGTGAAGAGCAAAGACCAAATCTGTTTAGTAACACCCAACTCAATGCCAAGAATATGTAAATATTTAATCTCTTTATCCCCAGAGAGTAAATTATGTACTCTTGGAGGCATTAATTCTTCCAGACTTCTGGACCTCCCTCAATGCACTGAAGCAAGAATTCTAAATGATTCTTTCCTAGTCCAAAATTTAACTTCAGCTTCTAGAAATTCCTAGTATAGGAATGAGAGAATAAAGCTTAGTGATCTTGATTCTCTCATATTGTAAATAGTGCATAAATTCTCAAGTGTGTCATTGCAAAGGGGCAAAAGTATCTGGAGACATGGCAGATTCCCCCTTGTTTTTCAAATGAAGCATCATAGATAGTGTCATTGAACTAAGCCAGGAAGAGGCTCGGAACTCAATTTCAGGGATTTTCATGGAATATATAGTCATGTGTTTCAATAGAAGATTACTTTCTCCCTTTTTTCATTTCTTATTTCATCTTTAGATTTTTCATGAGTAAACTTGATTGTGTGGGGTGAGAGTGCGAAACTTTGTGCTGATTGAAGGGTAGAAATTTGGCCTTATTAAATATGTATGAATAGAAATGGATAGAAAAAGTAAGGGAAAGAATGCGAAGGGGAGAAAGTTTCGATGTAACCCAGGTCGTTTAGAAGCAGAGGCCAGGATACAGAGGTGGAAGGAGTGTGACACCAGCCTTCCCACTGCTCGGTTTGGGAATCATTAGATGCCAGTTACAATCTCTGTTTCTAGAAAAGCCAAGGGAAAGGCAGTCAGCTGGGTTTTTCATCAGCACAGCAGTTATGTTATTACCTATGAGGAATTTGTACCTCAGAGCTCCTACTCTACCTGAAACATCCTGGGTCTTATTATACTTCCATTCTACTCTTTTCTAGAAATGGAAAGGATGAAAACTATCCCCACCACCAATGACACTGAAAGACTCAGTTTTGTGGTTTGAGAATTGCTGTAGCCAGCAGTAGAAGTAGGCCCAGCATACTCTGAGAAGGTAGCTCCACAACCCTCCTTTGAGAAAGCATTCGTGGCTATGGACTTGCCAGTACACAGGTGGGATGCATTTAATTTCTAGTATGTGTTTTACCACACCACCTTTGTCACTAACTTCCATGTGTATGTCTTTTATTAGCCACAGTGAAGTCTCACTCATAAATTCCACAGCAGAATGACTAGAACTCATTTTGTCTGAATTTCCACAAGGAAGAATAGAGCCAACTGACCATAGCTGGGGCTTGGACCTAAGAAATCAACTACAGTGGGGTATACTTTTGGAGGCTGTCCAAACTAGATAGCCAGTCTTTTAAGTCCAAGCATGTTTCTCAAAGGAGACTCAAGAGTTGGTGCCAAAGAGAACAGATGTAAATTCAAAGTTCAGGGTGTGAGAGTCAAGAGTCAGGAATTAAATAATAAACATGGATTGAAGTGAGAACGGTCTGCAGCAATTTTGGTCTAAGCAGAACGATTTCCAAAAATGCTATTGGTTGTTGATGGCCAGCAGGAGGAGGTCGGTATGTAGGTATATTAACATTGATAATTCCAGACCATTCAGTTCAAGTTAGAGGCTGTGCTAGGCAAGCTGTTGAGAGGGATGGGAGGGAGAAAGGGGAGGGCTGGAAGAAGTTGCAGGGTACTGGGCTTTGATCGCTTGAGTGCTCTGATTCCATTATTCTCCTATTGCATTCTAAAAATCTAGATTAAATACTTTGCAATATAAAATAATAATGTCTAATATTTTTGATGTTGTGATTATGAACATGAAGAACCCCCTTTTCCCTCCAGCTTGTTACTTTATTACTTTACTCCAGTACAAAGAAGCAGAATAGGGAAATGTGTTCAGTTAATTTCATTAATAGAGAAAACATTTTTAATGTCTGGAGAAAAGTAGGTGTTTTCAGCAGCTGTACCTAAAGGCCTGTACCACAAGGTGGTGCTCACACATTAAAAGTCGTGCTGTGTTTCAAGCAAGTTTCCCTTAGTGGTCTACGGTTTAGAATCTAAAATATGAGAGATTATTTATCTACCTTTGCATCTTTTAGTACAAGTTTCCTCAGCACTGAAATATAGTGGGTTTTAAATTTAAGCTGACTAGTTAACATATGACCTTTTTTTCTGGAGGTAAAAGAAGCAGTTCCACTTTTGTTTTGCTTTAAAGATCTGTTATTATATAATTTTTGATATGCTAGGTAAGTGAAAATGTTTTCTTCTACCATGCTCATTTTTTTATTTCATTTCCTTTAAACTCAAGACGGTGCAGCATAAACTCGCAGAATTAAAAACACACATTTGTGTCACCAGAGCTTTTGTGGACAGCTGTCTCCAGCTGCATGAAACAAAACGTCTAGACTCTGCCACTGCTTCCATGGCGAAATATTGGTATGCATGCTACAGAAGTTAAAATGTGCTGTTTGCTCAGACTGTTATGGAATTCTGTCAACTTTAAAACCAGCTTTGAGGGTCTTGAAGAAAGCTGTGTAAAAAGAAAAAAATAGCAATAAGAACCAACTTTTTAAAAATGTTGAAAAGTCCCATTAAATCTATTTATAATGTGCTACAAATTACTTAAGTTGATATTTAATTCTTAACTTGCTGTTGAAAATAAAATATTAACAGACTAAAGTAAGACAACTGATTGGTTATTCAAGCAACAGTTTAATTTCAAATTATCTAAAAAGTGGCAGTATAGTGAGGCTGAAAGAGAACAGTAAAATAGGAATCTTGAGATAGTCCCAATTTTTCATAAAATAACTATAATTAAACTTACTCCCCCATGGGACAACTTTTTGTTATCTGTGAAATGACTAGGTTGGACAAGATTTTTCTATTTATGGTGTTTTCCAGATTTAAGAGAAAAATTCCTGAAGAATCAATCAAAAGTTGCACCTGCTCTATTAAGTGAAAGGAAAAAAATGTCCTGTGAAGTTTCGAAAGATTTTTATTTGCGTTAAAGGTGATTAGCAGTGGTGTTAAAGGTGAATTAATTGGAAAAAGACCCTGTAAGGCTTTTGTATATTTTAAGATGCAAGAACATACACTCTAAATCAGATTCTAGAAGTGGACTTGGTTTTCTCTTTTTTTAAGAAAAACATTCTTACATCTCAGCCCAAAAGTAACCTAGAAAAAATTCCTGTCATTATTCATTAACTTGTGTTCAGTTCAATCATATGTAGAATAGAGGAAATATTTTGTGCTTTATGTAATGATTCCGTAATTTGCCAGGTTGAAAAGTAATGTGGAATTACTAGAAACTTGCACTTTGAGGGGAGACCTTTTACATTTAGATGTACAACAAGTTTTTTGATTAGTTGGAAAAAATGTAAAAAAAAATTAAATATTTTTAGAAAAAGAGAAGTTTGGATAGCTATTGACCTCAATTTTCTTTGAAAACAACAGGTTTATAGACACACTGGTATTTCACATTGAAGCAGAAGAGGCAACAAGTTATATCCCAGTAAATATTTTACTAAAATACTTGTTAAATACAAAACTTACCATATTCCAAATATTATTGCTCTTAGAGTCTTGTCTGTTATTGTCACTCTGTTTCTCAGGAACATCTTCACCTGTCCTATGGCTTGAGTTGAAAATTATTTTAAACAGGGAAATGTGCTTATGTTTACCTCTGCTTTATGTTTCCCACTACTGAAAAATAAACAAAAAAGAATTTTGAACCACCTCATCCAGGGTACTTCAAAAAGTTGGTGGAAAGATTTGTATTATTTTTTAATTCCATTTTTCCAGGAATTTTTTGAAGTACCATTTGCATTTTTATGTTGAGGTGAATAAAATTTCTACTAGTTACCTTATGGATTTTAATGATAGTTAAAATCGTGATAAGATTAGAAAAGAATTTTTCTCAAGTACTTCATATATTTATATATATATATATATTCACGCACATGTACATACACACATGCACACACTTCAGGAATAATAATCCCCAAATAATTTTTTAGTAAGTTTTTTATATAATGACATGTACTTTAATAGTTTACCATCTTAGGTTTTCACTTTTACTTTCAGTTTATTTCTGAAAAGCCAGAACCCTAAAAATAAAATATTTTTTCACAGTTCTCGAAATTCAGAATTGTGATCTTCAAATAGAAAGTGACATCTTTGGAGAAAAAAAAACACATTACAAAGGCAAAAGGACCTACATGGCTCAGTAATTTAAATCATATAGAAAATCTAAATAAATTGGGCCAAATTCAAGTCTTCACTATATCCTTTTCAAGCCTAAAATAGACAAAATCTAATAGTCTGAGTTTTCCACATTTTGTTACTTGCCTTAACAGAAACCCATCCAGAAATATAATTGATAAAGACAGTATTCTTTATGTGAAAAATCTTTTGGAATATATTTTATATGTAATTGTTATCATCTTCTCTGGTTGGCTATGATATTGCTTGATAAATGTATGCATTTTAACAATCATGAATTATTTATTTCCTGATTGTGAAGCACCTCATGAAAATCTATTTCAAATGTTCCTTTTCTGCTTTTTATCTTGGCTATCTAGGGCATCTGACTTACAAAACCGTGTAGCTTATGACTGTGTACAGCTCCATGGAGGTTGGGGATACATGTGGGAGTACCCTATTGCAAAGTAAGTATGGTTGTTCTGTTACACTCTTCCTAATCATGTGAAGAAAAAGGAAAATTTCTTTACTGTACTTTGCACATCAAGTATAGAGAGAAACGAAGTGGGAAATCTTTGCATTTTTTAACTGACTACAGAGTGTGTTCAAGCAAATGGAAGCAGCTTTATTTTATTGACTTACCACTAGGATTTTATCACTTTTAAAGAACATGAAGAGACCAGTATACTAAAGCTTGATGCTTGGGCTTTATTTAAGTCACTATATAGAAGGGCAGATATCACTATTTTTAAACAACAACAATAAAATAATGCAGAAAAATTAACCTACTAATGAAAAGGATCTAAATTGTTATCTTAAATATTTGATTTTACTCCAAAAAGTAAAGGTACTTATTTTTTTCAAATAGAATTTTTATTTCCTTCAAATTAAATGAAATTAAATACACCTTTACTATTGCATCATATATGAGTATTCTTGTTATTAGCTTGAAGCAGTACCATTTTAATAGGCAGGGTCCTCAGCCATATTTCTTCCTCCATCTCCGTAATTTCCTGTTTTCTTCTTTGTCTCAGCAATCTCCCTATGGTGTTTTTCCTCATTACTCTAGAAAATATATTTTTTCTCTTATTTAGCAATATTTTCAATTTATAAAATTTTCCCAAGAAAGTTTTTTTTATATATATAGGAAAGTCCAATTTAGTTCTGAATCTGAGAATAAGAATGCTATAGGCTTCTAAAAACTTCTAATTTTTATCTGAATGTAGAGTAGCTAAAGGGAAAAATTATCACACTCATATTCAAACTGGCAGCCTAACAACATCTTCAAATTTATCATTTTGGCAAGCATAATTGAAAACATTTGATAGCTTATAGTCCTTAGGAAAATAAAGATTTTGTAAGAGTTAAATTAAGAACAGAAAACTCAGTATAGATATAATTTATTAATTTTCTGATTTTCTTAGTCACTGGTCAGCTCAGAAGTCATGTGTATATATGAATTATATAATTTATACCCTTTAATAAAAACTCAGCAACAACCAGGGCTTTTCCCCTTCTTGGGAATGTAAGCATGAAGTAACTAAATGATTTTTTTTTTTTTAATCAATCCTTGGACTTGTATTTTGGTATATCCTTTCAGAACTACTTCAAATAAGCCTTAATCAAAAGCAGATTTATTTACTTTTAATCTTTGTATCATCATGAAGTCAGAAATACAACTAAACTAAATCATCACAAACTAAATCATCACTGGAATTTTTCCTGTGTATTTTCCTGTTTGATTAGCAGTATTCATCCATCTTATTACAGTATTCAGAGTGTTAAGAAGGTATAATAACGGATGTTTATAGTTTTCTACTTAACTGTGCTGTTACAACTGCTGCTGGAAGTGTAGACATGTAGCAGCTCCATGTTTGTGTAGTTTAGTTCAAGGTCTAAGAAGAGAAGTGGAGAGGAGTCAGCCATCTAGGTGGTTTAAGAGTACAGGGTGGCATAAGCATTGATCTCTTGTTTTCTCTGAGTCAATTCCTTCAGTTTAGTAGCAAGCAAAAATTGCAGCTGATAGCTTATTTGAAATCCCTGGTTTCAGTTTGAGACGCTTCTGTTTTCTTTAAGGAATAATAATCACCCTTCTTGGTCAGCTTGTTAGTTCAAAGATTATATGACTCTTTAAACTAGACTGCTATTTTTCTCCCCAAAGACACAGGGAATTCTAATATCAACTACTATCAAAAAAGCCAATCAGACACATTAGGTAATATGTACAGGCTTTGGGTTTTTTTTTTCTTTTAAAATTTTAATTGCGTTTCTCATATCCGCCAGATTAAGCTACATTATTTGTTTATACATGTATTGCTGAGTCTTGGTTTCAAAGATAAAAGAAGTGCTTTATTCACTTTTTTTGTTTGCTTTGGTTTTATTTGTTTTTGCTTTTTTTAATAACTGGTCTTCAGCATGTGGGCTTGTTTCAGTCTTACTCATTAGGCTCAAGCATGTGAGAAGTGCCATTTAGAGACTTTGCTGCCATCCTAGGAAGGGCAGCCTGAGAAGCAGAGCGTCATGCAGTGTGGTTAAATATTTCTTCTGCTGTTTTTCTCTGTTAATTTTAGTTGATGACTAAATTTAATTAGTAACCTATAAAAGGTCTGCTGATCTCTGTCATTACCTACTCCATTGGAACTTATTTAATGTGAAAAAAAAAATGCCCAACCCAGTTCAAAAATGTCTAAAAGCACTGGGATTGCTGAAGTAGGCTGAAATGCCAGGTAGATCCTTGAAATGCAAGTGCTGGATTTTATGGAGAACAACAGAATTTGTTCAGAAAAAAAATATGTTCGAAAACAGATATCTCTAGCTTTTAAAACTTTCATCAGAAAGTACTGAGATTCTATATTTCTTTGGATACAGTAAGTCAAATTAGTATATTTACTAAGTGCCCACTTATTTTCAAGGTACCCTGATGAATACGGAGAAAGATAAGTCCAGAATGGTCATACTCCTGGAGAGCTGGCACATTGAAGTTGTCTTAAAAATTAAGTAAAAAACAACAGATTTTATGAGTGAAAAAAAAAATTCCTCTGAATTTGTCTACTAGGAAAGTCTAAAGCTCAACAACTAGCCCTAAATGCCTGGGCCAATGAAAGTATTGTGATATAATAAAAAAGATACTTGCCAAAGAGGCAGGGTCCCCACATTCTCATTCTATCTGCTAATTTTCTGTTATGTGACCATTAAATCCTTTACCTGCAAAACAATAATAATATTTATCCTCCCTGATCCCAGCACTGAGAAGATAAAATGAGATGAGAAAAGTTAAAAACAGCTATGCAGAGGCATGGTTACTATCATGGCTATCAAAAATAAACTTCTGATGGTATCTTTTTTGTATGGCAGTGGACTCGGTCACTTAGTATTTTTAACCCCATACATTACTGGAGTGACTATTAATCATTTCCATAAAATAGGTTACTTGTTAACTTTCTGGTAAGTAATATTTTCTAAAATATCAATTTATATTACTGGTGGTGGTAGTGGTGCTGGAATTTAACGTGATGCTGGAAGATACGTAGTTTCTTTTTTCTTTTGTTTTCTATAAAGCCAGTAGAGTTCAACTTTTTGTGGAAACATTGAAGATAACAAGAAACCAAGACATTACAAGTATTTCTAAACCTAAAACAGATTTTTAAAATACGTTTTGAATTTTACAAAACTATATCAGATGAAGCACACTTACAAATGTTACTTTGAGTTTATAATCTCTTTAAGCAAACTAAAACAAAGCTATCAATTATCAATATCTTAATAGGTTTTTTATAATTATACCAATCTAGGATGAATGCCACACTGGAAAAATAAGTAATTTCTGGAGGACTTTTATTGTTTGAATTTCATTAAATAAATACTTTAATTACAGGAATAGTTACCTGATGAGACAAAATTTACAATTTCTAATATTTTTTTATTCATTCAATTATCTGATTTATCCAGAGCTTATGTGGATGCCCGAGTTCAGCCAATTTATGGTGGTACCAATGAAATAATGAAGGAGCTGATTGCGAGAGAGATCATCCGTGACAAGTAGACATCTGCCCACATCCTGGAATCCTATTACAGCTAATCTGGTCTTAAATCTACTCAAGATAAAATGTAACCTGGAAAGGAGGGAAACAAAACATGTTTTTATATGCTCTCTCTATAGAGAAAGAAATCAAACATAAATGTAAGCTCAACACAGTGGAAGGAAAAATCTATGAATCCAAATTCTAAAATGCTCCAGTATAAGATTTAACTTTAAATTTTTTATACACTTAAAGATTAAAGAATTTTTGGTTCTAGAAGCCTTAGTGTTTCACTGATCTCTAAAATTCTAAAAAGCAATAATTGCTTAAATCTTTTAAATTGAGGCAGAAATAATTTTATGTTGTCATAGTATAAAAACAATAATATAGCAAATTAAAGGGAAAAATAAATATAATGTAGAATGTAAAGTCATTTCGGCTACCTTTTGCTCCAGATTTCCTAGAGCAGTGGTTTTGAAACCACCATGCTACTTCATTCCCTGTTTTTAAGCAATGGAATACTGTATTCAAACAAAGGCTTGTGCAGAATATCTCTGTGAAACGCTCTTTGGCAAAGAGCTAAGGTTGAAGCAGGAAGCCTTCCTACCTTACTGCCTTGAAACCCAAAGGACTTGCTAAGCATTTGCTTAACCCCAATCAGAGAATGTCCTTGGTTCTCTACTACTGACACCTGGTATTTCAACAGGTTTCCATTCCAGTTTAATTGATAAGAGAACACAGAATAATTCATCATCCTTTAATTTCAAGATGTTGGTATATATGATAGGTATCAAAGCAGTGACTTTTATTTTGCAACAGTGTAATTTATTTATTAATATAACAAGAACTTTGTGTCTTCTGTAAACCAGGTGGTTAAAAATACGATGGCAAACAAAACGGGCAAGATCATTGCTAATAAGTGAATAAACCAATAAGTAGTAATAAACAAAGTAAGAAGTAAATAAGTAAATACAATAATTTCAAATCATAATAAGTATGATAAAAGTAAGCATTTAAACTGGAAAAGTGAGGAAATGACATTTGATTTGAAACTTAAAAGTAATTATTATCAAAAAATAAACCACTAATTTAATTTGTAAATAACATTTCAGTACTTGTTTTTTTTTGCATATAGTCATAAAACAGTAAATAGTTTTAAAATGGAAATCGATATATTCGTATTCAGCTTCAAAAACTTAAACATTTTATTTGTTATCATTGATATTAAACATTGTTTTTATTTATTTTTTTGGCGGCTGGCCAGTATGGGGACCCGGACCCTAGATCTTGGTATTACAAGGCTTCACTCTAACCAACTGAGGTAACCAGCCAGCCATAAACATTGTTTTTTAATGCAGTACAACCATTACAACTGGATAGAGCAGAGGGAAAAGAAAATATTTTGATACCATTCTTTCCTAGAGTTACACAGCTTTGATTTGCTCTTGGGCAAGTTTGTGTGGTTGCCAGCTTAGGTTCTTTCTCATATGCATTAAATACCATGAAAAATCAGTTGAAATAAATTTTTATTCGGTACTAGTATATTTGCAGCTTTTACCTCCTTTCTACTACCAGAAAGTGATATAGGATTTGACAGACTTACCCCTCCTTTTACCCCACAGCCCCTTTCCCTCCCAATCTTAAAGGAAACTAGATTTTAGGAATAAAACATCTGTAGGATAAAAAGTAAAATAGCACAGTAGGAAAAGCCTTCTGTGTAAAGATGGACAGACCTGGATTTGACTGATGCCTCTACCATTAAGGAGCCATTGGACCTTGGACAAGTTGTTTAACTTCTCAGGATTCTTTCAAGTGCAAATGACAAAAGAAACCCAATTCAAACCATCCTAAGCAAAAACTTGAGTGTAGTGTCTTAAAAGGACTGTGGAGTAGATCATACAATCTAAAGAACTGTAGGAACTAGGTCTCAAGGGCCTGATTATGGGGCTTAGAACTGCTAGCATTTATGTTATATCCATTTACCATCATTTTTACTTTACTTTGCAAATTGGCCTAATGGATACTGTAGAAGAACTTCATTATGAGTCCTGTAAAAATGACCTTGCACTGCTCCAGGCCTGCATCCTTCAGCACAATGTCATCATAAGGTAGGGGAGAATGCACAATGATTGACAGTCCCATCAGCAATACATGGACTGGGGGAAGCACTCCCTGAAGCAGAACATGGGGTATCAAAAGAAAGGGAACAGAAAGGTGCTGGGCAGACCCAAGTCTCTCTGTTTCTCTCTCTCTGTGTCTTTCTAACACACACACACACACACACACACACAGAGTTATTTCATTCCCCTAGAGTTCAGAATAGGTTCTAGTAATTTTTATATATCGGAAATGAAAGGATTTCTAAGGTAGGCTAGGCTATTTTGCAGTGAAAATATATTTTCTCTGGGGTGTTTTCTTTCTCTTCTAAGCCAGCAGTTTTCTTTCTCTTAACAACTTCAGTATCGTTTTACACTCCCAAAAGAAGCATGCGTTGTATCATAAGCTTAAAACCGAAAGCAAAAAAGAGAATTCAGAATGTGCTTCTTAACCTTTTCTTTGGTTTCTATTTCTTAAACAGCTAATCTTTGTGTTTTCTTCGTGTAGCTTTGATTGTTGTCCCCCAGGGAGGGAACTTATCATCTGTATCTCATGCAGTGCTGAGTGCTCAAGAAACAATAAATAATAATAATGCTCAAAGAACAGGCTGGACCAACACAGCAAGAAAGCCACACAGTGTAAATATTAGTGAGAATTAAAAAGCCTGAGTAATTTTAATTTTTTTTGGCTGAGATTTTTAAGACCATAATTATTGTTTAAAATTACTGTTGCCCTTTATTTTGTTGATGATGTCATTGAAAAATGTTTTGATTTGCTATTTTAAAATCTAACTCTGCAAATCTTTACTAATCTAGTGATTTTAGTAGTTTATTGCTGTAAATATTCAAAGTATAAGATTTCTAGGAGACTTTTTTTGCATGTCAGTATTATTTTTGGCACACACAGCATTTATTTATTTAGAGTCATTGGAAAGATTTGACATTGAGATTGAAACCAACTGTAGGCCTGTGTCTACTGCTTTCAATAAATGTTGAAAAGAAGTTTTGCTTTATTTTTTAAAATCTAATTTTCAAGAAAAAATTGGAAAACTTTGAACATACTAAAAAAAGAGTACAGTATAATGAACCTCTAACTTTAACATTTGCCAATCTATCTCCCTCACTTTTTTTCTCAAGTATTTTAAGGCAAATCCCAGACTTAATGCTACTTCACACACAAAATATACTTCAGAATATGTATCTAACTGGTGAAGAATGCTTTTACATAGGCACCAGGCCATTATCATGCTTTAAAAACTTAAATTTAATGTATAATTCCAAGCTCACATTAAATTTTCCTTGATAGTATCAAAGATGCCTTTTGTAGTTAGTTCGTTCAAATCAGGATTGAAACAAGGTCCATAGATTGTATTTTGTAATATTGTCTCCAAAGTCTTTCTATTTTATAAAAGTCATCCCTTTTCTCTTTTTTCCTTCTTTCTTTATAAATTTTACTTTTAAAATCAACATTCAGCATATTTGCCCTTTTTTGGTACACATATATTCATACTAGATTGCCTTTTTTGGTTCTCTGAATTTTGGCACGTATAGATTCATGCAGCCTCCACCACAATCAGAAAACAGAACTGTTCCCTTACCCCAGAATCTCCCACATGCCCTTCATAGTCACACCCTCCTCACACCTCTAACCCTGGCACCCACTGATCTAATCCCTGTTATTATAGTTTTGTTTTGAGATGGTCATATAAATGGAATCATACAGAATTTAACCTTTGAAAATGGCTTCTTTCTCTTAGCAAAATGCCTTTAAGGTTCATCTATGTTGCATGAGTCAATAGCTTGTTCCTGTTTTGGTGGTAAGTACTTTTCCACTGTATAAATATACCGCAATTTGTTTATTCATTCACCTGATTAAGGACATCTTTTCATGTGTTTATTTGCCTTTCACATGTGTTCTTTGTTGAGTTGTCTGTTTAGGTCTTTTGCCCATTTTTTTTTTTTAGATGTGTTGTTTGCTTTCTTAATATTGAGCTTTGTTTTCTTTATATATTCTGGATACCGTCAAGCACAAGGCAAAGACAGGCTGACAGATTCAGCTAGTAAAAAAAACAACAGGTCCTTGTTAGACTCAGTTTATTGCTTAAATAGAACGTAAAAGGAAGAATGGTTAAAAATGCCAGCTCTCTGTAGCCTTTGCAGAGGGTGACACTGAGACAGAAGGGGGCGGATGACTACAACAAGAATGATGGGACATGCTGTTGGTGAGGAACCCATTCCATGATGCTGCTGGGCAGTTTTCAACATACAGATCTTGTACTTTTTTTTTATATTTATACTTAAGTATTTAATTTGTCTTGGAGCTGCTGTAAATTACATTGTCATTTAATTCTGCTTTACAATTGTTTATTGCCAGTATAATTGATAGTTGTTTGTTGACCTTGTATCCTATGGTTTGCTAAATTCACTTATTTATTCTTAGGATTTTCTACATAGACAATAATGTCTTCTATGAATAGGGGCAGTTTTATATCTTCCTTTCTAAGCTGTATGCCTTTCATTTCTTTTCTGTTTTTGTTTTTTGTTTGTTTTTGTTTGGGGTACTGATTAGGACTTCTACTACAATATTGAACAAGAACAGTAAGAATGGATATTCTTGTTTGTTCCTGATCTTAGGGGAAAAGCATTCAGACTTAAAAAGGGGAAAGCATTCACATTTAACATTATGATTTTTTTTTAAGTTGGCTTTTTTGTAGATGCATTTTATTAGGTTGAAGAAGTTCCATTTCATTATTAATTGATGAGAGTTTTTATTATTAATGGTAGTGATTCTGTCACATGTTTTTCCACATCAATTATATGATCATGTGGATTTTCTTCTTTGGACTATTAGTCTACTGGATGTCTTAGTCTGTTCCTACTGCTATAATAAAATACCACAAATAGGGTAATTTATAAATAATAGAAATTTATTTCTCACAGTTTTGGAGGCTGGGAAGTCTAAGATCAAGGTGCTGGCAGGCAGGTTCAGTGTCTGGTGAGGGCCCAGTCTCTGCTTCCAACAGGATGGCTTGAACTCTATGTTCTCTAGAGATAAAATTAATCCCTTTGTGAGGGCTAAGGCCTCATGGTCTAATCACCTTCTAAAGGCCCTACCTTTTAATATTGTTGCATTACAGATTAAGTTTCACCATGAACTTTTGATGGAATACAAACATTTAAACCATAGCACTGGGTTACATTGATTGAATTTTGAATATCGGACCAATCTTGCTTTCTTGAGATTAACCCTACTTGGTCATTGTGTATTATTCTTTTTACGTATTGCTTGGTTTAATTTAATAAAAGTTTGTTAACAATTTTTATGTCTATGCTCATAAGGAACATTGGGCTGTAATTTTCTTTTTTCTTTCACTATCTTTGTCTGGTTTTGTTATCAGGGTAATGTTGACCTCATAAAACAGGTTGGGGATTATTTCTCCCTTTTTCTTCCATACGATTGGTTTGTTGGAGAGAATCTGGTCATTTATTTTGTAGAATTTCCACCATTATTGATTTGCTTGGTTGATTCCTCATGCTGGTTTCTATTTATTCCTCTGTTCCCCATATTTCCTGTAAACTGATAGTATGAAGGCTTGATTAGATTTAAGCACAATATTTTTGCCCAGAAAATTTAATAAGCAGTACTGTTAATATTCTATTGCATCACATCATGAGACACATTATATTTAGTTGTCTCACAGTGATTTTGAAATTGATCAGTATATTTGGATAATGTTAGTATTAGTTGGATATCTTCTTAAAATTTCCTATTAACCTTTTACCCAATAGGTTTTAAAATCTATTGATAATTATTTACAAGACCTATTATTTCATTAGGAGTTACAAAATTTTCTAATTTTTTCACTCTTGCTTTTATTAGCTTTTATAAAGAAGAACTTTTAGTAACTTTTTCATTAGTTTTTGTCTTCATTGGTCCTCTAGGATTCAGAATAATGAGACACAGAAGTGCAAGAGGTTTATTAACAGGTAACACCTGTGAAAGAT